TATTTCCTTTGGAGTGGAAAAACTGGCTACAAGCTTTTCCCCCAACTCTTACCAATTTAACCTTGAGGCTATGACTCAAAAAACTTTCCCCCTCTGCTCTTATAATTAATTAAAAGCCTTGGTTTTCAAGACTTTACTCTCTGCTTTGCATTTCAAGAGCTTCTTTGAAAATTCAAATGTAAAGATTCAGCCTAATATCTACTATTGTTATGTAGTGGTATAAAAATCAAATACTAACTCTGAAAACCATCCATTTCCAAATGTTATCATAAACTGCTTCATAAAATGCAAACCTACAGAGACATTGCCCCCTACTCTTTAAATCTACAAAAATTATTTGATAATTCCCATTTCTTTTCTTAAAGTACAGTCATTATTTTTTATTATCTCTTCCTTTTTATTCCATCATCTCTTCATTTAAAAAAATTTGTCATTTCCCTCTTATATGTATTTGTACCTTACTTTCTTTACAAATTGGATAGCACAAAGATTAGTTTTTCAATGTCTTCTTTCTCATTCAGTTTTTCTATTTTCATGTCTCTTTATACCACATTCTCTCATTTATTTATTTATTTTTTACTTAATTCACTTTTAGGCCATCCCACAGGCCCAATTCAATGACTTCTAGCAACTGTTAGGAGAAGATGAGCTTTTATTTCCAGCACTTCATTTCTGTAATCATTTGAAGTCTATAAGCCAAGACATTTGGAAAGATTATGGTTAAAGGCTTCATAATGAAATTGCTTCTTTTAATGGATATTATCAATAAATCAACAAACAACAGGTGTTGGCAAGGATGTGAAGAAAAGGGAACCCTCATGGACTGTTGGTGGGATTGTAAATTGGTGCAGCCACTATGGAAAACCGTATGGAGGTTCCTCAAAAAATTAAAAATAGAACTATCATAGGGTCCAGTAATTCCACTTCTGGGTATTTATTCAAAGAAATCCAAAAACACTAATTTGAACAGTTATATGCACCCTTAAGTTCATTGCAGCATTATTTACATTAGACAAGATATGGAAGCAACCTAAGTGTTCATCAATAGATGAATAGATAAATAAGTGGTACCTGGCTGGCATGGCTCAGTGGTTGAGCATCAACCTATGAACCAAGAGGTCACAGTTTGAGGTTTGATTTCCAGTCAGGGCATATGCCTGGGTTGCAGGCTCAATACCCAGTGTGGGGTGTGCAAGAGGCAGCTGATCAATTATTCTCTCTCATCTTTGATGTTTCTATCTCTCTTTTTCTCTCTCTCCCTTTCCCTTCCTCGAAATCAATAAAAATATATTTTAAAAAACACTTAAAAAAAGAAGTGGTAAATATATGTAATGGAATATTACTCAGCTATAAAAAGGAATGAAATCTTGCCAATTGTTACAATGTGGATTGACCTAGAAAAATACATTAGACAGTCAAAACACTAATTTGAACAGATATATGCACCCTTAAGTTCTTTGCAGCATTATTTACATTAGCAAGATATGGAAGCAACCTAAGTGTCCATCGATAGATGAATAGATAAAGAAGTGGTATCTGGCTGGCATGGCTCAGTGGTTGAGCATGGACCTATGAACCAAGAGGTCACAGTTTGAGGTTTGATTTCCAGTCAGGGCATATGCCTGGGTTGCAGGCTCAATACCCAGTGTGGGGTGTGCAAGAGGCAGCTGATCAATTATTCTCTCTCATCTTTGATGTTTCTATCTCTCTTTTTTTCTCTCTCTCCCTTCCTCGCTGAAATCAATAAAAATATATTTTAAAAAACACTTAAAAAAAAGAAGTGGTAAATATATGTAATGGATTATTACTCAGCTTTAAAAAGGAATGAAATCTTGCCAATTATTACAATGTGGATTGACCTAGAAAAATACATTAGACAGAATAGATAAAAACCATATGATTTCATTTATATATGGAATATGAAAGCAAAATAAGTGAACAAACAAAACAGAAACAAACTCATAGATACAGAGAACAAATTGATGGTCACTAGATAGGAGGAGTTTGGGGAGATGGCTGAAAAGGTGAAAGTACAAATTGTCAGTTATAAGAATAGTCATGGGGATGTAAAGTACAGCATAGGGGATATAGTCAGTAGTCTATATATATAAAAGCCTACTATGCTAAGTGTCCTACTGATTGGTCAACTGTTTAGTCCACTGCTCAACCAGTCGCTATGAAGTGCACTGAACACCAGGGGGCAGATGCTCCGACCGGTAGGTTAGGTTGCTGCTGGGGTCTCACCGATCAGGACTGGACGAGATGGGACGGACACGCCCTGGAGCCCTCCCGCAGTCCCTCCCTGGCCTCTAAAATATTTCTTCTAATTAATTTCCTTTCAATGTGCACAAATTCATGCACCGGGTCTCTAGTATTGTAATAAGTATGTGTGGTGTCAGATAAGCATAAGAGTTATTGGGATGGTCACTTTATAAGGTATATAAATGTCTAATCTCTATGTTGTACACCTGAAATTAATATAATACTGTATGTCAACTGTAATTGAAAAATAAATGTAAAAACCGTATTTCGTAGGAGAACAATTTGCAAAGTGAACCTGTAAAAAAAAGAAAATGCTTCTTTTTAATTTATTTAGACTCTTCTCAGAGATATTACAAATTATTAAAGTTTTTATTTTATTTTAACCAAAAATATTTATTGAATACTTAGTATGAGTTAGGCACTGCTCAAAGTTGGGCCTGGGGAAGTAGTAATAATCAAAACAAGCCAAATTCCTACCCTCAGGTAGTTAATAGTTTAATGGTTTGAAATATAAAAAGAGTAATTATTTTAGATATACAGGAAAGTTGCAAAGATGGTATGGAGAGTTCCTGTATATTTCTCTGAGTTAAAATTTTAGTTGGATGAATAATGCATTTAAAATGAGTATACAGTGGGAAGAATCAGGATGTTTGGAGACAAGGTGAGCTGCAAATAATGGAAACAGTGGGAATAGTTGAGAATGGGTTTTCAGACTTTTCTATTTGTTAAAACTCTAAAGACAAAATAGAATAAATGAATATTAATGATAATGGATAGGGACTTGGGGAAATCTGAGAGCTATAGCCCTAATCTGCCTATGGTAATTTGTGTGGAGCCTCCAATTTAATATTTATATGTTATATGAATCACTACTTCATATATGGCCATGTTCATTTTTATATAATACTAGAGGCCCGGTGCACAAAAATTTGTACACTCGGAGGGGTCCCTCAGCCCGGCCTATGCCCTCTTGCAGTCTGGGACCCCTAAGAGGATGTCCACCTGCTGGCTTAGGCCCGTTCCCTGGGGGAT